ATACGACAGTTTGTTTCACTGTATGCCTATGACCAGCTGGCTGAAATGTTAAAAAATCTATTACATTAGGATTAGGGGTAAATTGCTCTAAAACCCACACTAGAAACTCTTCCAGACATGAGAGTATTTTTGTCTTCTCCTGAGCTTCATTGTGCATACTCATCTTTGCTTTTGGATAAGGTACACACGTGGTGCCCAGCAACAAGGCCCACGACAGGAATAAGAAAAAAGAAGGGGAGAATTACTTGCAAGCTGGTCCGGAATAATGAGGGACGGGTAGTTCTTTTTAAAAAATGCAAATGACAGCATATGCTCCAGTTTGAAAGCATTAAAGCCCAAGTTTGCCAAAAGCTGGAAAGCTGATAAATAAAGCAGTAAAAATATTAACTGGATACCGAAGTCAATTCTGAATTTGGTTACTTCAAGTGACTATAAATTTAAGCAGATAAACACAAGACTCTCCAGTGAAAAAGTGAAAATCTTTGACTGCAGAAGTACAGCTAGAGGGCAGGGCACAATGTTATTTGAGGCACAGGACAATAAATCCCTAGGAGTTTGACTTCTAGGATACACTCAGGTCAAGAAATATATGAGCACCCCAGAGAGTATAAAGTTCAGGGTCACAGAGAGTTTCTTGCAAAATTTTCTGACTGTAGACAAGAATCTGCCATAGTATTTCAAGTTGTTGCCAGCTTGCAGTAAACTATGGTGATAGCACTTGGTATCTTATCCTAGAAATAATGTTTTTTGTCCATGCTTGCCATGATGCTTTGAAATAGTGATCCACTTAGCAGGTGCTATAATTTCTTTCTGGTACTGTGTGATTTGGTGACGTGGAATGTGTTGTAAAATTCACTACTTCCTGTGCTCCAAAACTGGCCCTTTCATTAGAATAAAATAATTATATCTTAAAATGCCTCTTACAATCTTGTTTATGAAAAATAGAAGCCAAAACCACAAACCTTTATGAAATGAGCTGAGTGTCAACTCATGCAGAGCTCACCTCCCTCTCTAAGCAGGCAGCTGGTATCAGTTGTATCCTGTGCCTCACTTCACCAAACGGGTTGTATCTGAAGATCAGACAAAAACAGCCTAGAGATAAAAATAAAAGTTGCTAGCTATTTCACTACCCAATGCAGCACTATCAAAATCTCTTCTTTACTTCAAGTGACCTAGTACTCTTAACAAAAGACTTCACAGTGTAGGGTTCATAGGTTTTGCCACTCAGCTGTATGTGCAGTTATGCTAATGTAAAGGAACTAATAGTCCTTATGAGTACATTGCTGACTTCTGCTGAAATAACTTTGTTGTACAGAATTGGATGGAGGTGCGCCAACAGAAACCCCTAGTATACGCATAGGCAATGTTTTCCTAAACGTGCACATCATACCTCCCCGGCACCCCTGAAACCTGGGTCTGCATTATCCAGGATCAAATTGCACCAACTGCATTTGTTTCTCAGGAGAAACCACTGGGGCACTAAAAGTGCGTGTGATACTGCACATCAGCTGAATGGCTGATCTCAGTTGATGCACTAAAAGCATAGAGCTAGACTGTACAATCAAGTTTCATATGCCAAACTGTCAATCAATTAATTAAAAGTCAACCCTGAGTGAACAAAGCAGGTAGCACTTTGTAACCTTCTATGCAGTTGCAGAAGTGATATCTGGTAGTTAATATTTCAGCAGTAGCACCTCTGCACTTTTTCATGTGTTGCAAATTTTTTAATATATATGAGCAAAAGTTGGTCTCATGAATTTTCAATTTTTCTTCATTTACATGTACTTCATATATATGTGGTTAATACATAGATAAAATGATTTGACGTTTCAATAAATATTTTCTGTTTCCGCATGGGCCAGCAGATACATACAATAAAAGGAAACTCTTTAGGGAAATAAAAACCTGTAGCAAAAAGAAAGTATTTCTTCTTAGGTATCTATCTTAAACTTGTGAGTAAATATTATGCTTCTACATTTTGCTGTCTATTCACTCAGTTGTCCCTCTCATGTTATTTTAAAATAAATGAGCCTGCCTGTTGAAGAATGCTAACATTAGACGTGAGATACAACGAGCCAGTAACCTCTGCCTTAGCTACCTACCTTCAGCTGTAGTTGGTGGGAGGAGAGGGGTGTGAGGTGCAGCAGCAGAAACCCAGGGGCAGAACCAGCCCACTGCAGGGATTCAGGAAAGGTAAAGGGAAGAGGGGAGAACGAAGTAGCCAGGAATGAGAAGGCAGAAGCAGCAGCAAACAAAAGGGTCGAAATACGCTGCACCAGACCATAGATCTCTTTTGCCTGGAACATTAGGAAAAAGCCATGTCTTCATCTTTATATATTACAGTAGGCAGACTCAAAAAGGTTTAGTCTTTAGAGCAGATTGCTATTCAGTTCACAGGCGTGTTGTTGCAATGAGCAAGCATGACAAAAAGCTGAAGTGGAGACTGCAACAGCGTGGGAAAAGACATCAGAGAACTTAGGAAGCAGTCCCCAAGTAGGCATGTCCTAGATTTGATTTACCACTGGACTTCACCTGATGCTGTGATCAGAGCTCTTCTGCTTTTGTGACTGGAACACATTGATGGATGTCTAAGTTTTAGCCATTTACTTGATGAAAGATGCAATGCTATTTTTGCTGCTGGGGCCACATCAGCTTGCAGTGTACTGATGTCTTTCTGTGGTGTGCATATACAAAACTTTGTGCTGCTCACCTTGCCCACAGCTGTGTTTCTTGCTTTTATCACCAGCATATTGCCAGAGATAATGGGCGTAGCTGCATTCAGGGTTGAGGATGCTGGGGCCTCAGTTGCATAGAAGTACTTGTCTCATATAAAAGGCTTTATTATTATTATTTCTGAGGGTAACTTACAACCAAATAATTCCTTCTACAGAGTATAATAGGCAGCAGAAAAAACATTTTTCTTGGTGTTTTTATGGATAAGTGATCTAATTCCACCTAAGTTTGGCTGCCCTTTGAGGGCTAGTGCAAAAATACTTTTCCAAGTACTAAATGTCCAAATAAATCAGGAAGGAAAGCTGCAATATTATGGCCTTGCATCACTCTGTAACGACTAGCAGAATTTGGTGATGTTTTCATGTAGGGAAGTTCTCACTTCAGAAACAGCATTAACGTTTTAAGATGTTACAGTCTTCCACTCTTTATTATTTCTCTTCATTATAAGGGGCTAGAGCTGCTACCTCCTGAACTCAGACACCATAACAGATTGTGCGAATGGGCCAAATGCACTTCAGTGTGCTTGGGAGAGTCCCCTTTAACCACTGCTGAAAACAGCTCAAGCTAAGCCTGGCTGGCTTTGCACAGGAACATATTAAGGATGCTCACATGTGAGCATGGCTCACTTGGGAGGCAGTAACTCCCTAAATCATTTCAGTTTGTTCCACAAAAGCACAGTTCTCTCAAGGCTGGATGCTGCATATTTCTGAAGGGAAGAACGAGTGTGGACCCTCAGGAGATCTGCAGAGTGTTTCCCCTCGAGTTCCCTGGGTAGCTCTGCGCTTTTCCACGTTATGCCTCCTCCTGAGGATGAAATCTGACAAATCAGAAAATCCTGATCCCCTGTAATCATTGGAAAGTTTACTGTTTTCCTTAAAGGTTCTAGCATGATATTATGGCCTTCTAATTATCTACTGTGCTTGGTTATAACCTGTTACACAATGCCACTGCTATAGCATCTCCTTTGCCGTGATGTTTGCACCTCCTGGCTTGCATGTTCACTTTCACATTCCAAGCAGTGTAATACTTTTGAGGGTACCATCTCCACCACAAATGTCTTCACCCTATCCTTCTTTTGTAACCTGCACATCCAGCAAAGCCTTTCAATGTATGAAATGAGAATTGCGCATGGGCTTTGTCCACCTTGGCTGTATGTATTAACATGCTTGACCTGAGTACTCTAAATGAAATAAAATGCTTTTCAGCTTCATCTGTATTAAGCTACAGGCTGCAACAACAAAGATTAATGCTTTCAGCTGGCGCACTGACAGGCAGAGAGGGGTCTTTACTGCCCTCTTGTTCCAGACAGAATTCCTTTGCTTGAAGAGAGGTTGCACTCCTCAGGCCTCGTGACAGGTTGACATAGAATTTATTTTCTTGGCAGAAATAATAGTCAGGATGGAAACTTACATGTATTATACAGCAAATCTTTTGTTTTTTTCATTTTTCTTCAGTTAAAAAGGTTAAACGTTTTCTTGGGAACCTTAAACTATTCTCATTCATCCTAGAAACAGAAACTGTTGTAATACTAGTAGGTAACTTTTTACATTTCCTTCCACTGCTGAACTTATAACCCATAATGGAAAGATTGTTTTGCCATCTCTCAGAATAAGCAGATTGTGTATTACCTGCTAACTAGCTCAGTTATAAGATAGGGAAATCCTAAGCTGCTTTCTTAGGTTAACTTAGGCTACTCGTAAGGTATTTCCTCAGTTCTCCTTTACCTTGAAAAAATTCTCACATAGTTTCAGGACACTTTCCTTATTTATACTAATTGTCTGAATTTATTGCTTACCAAATTTAATTTCTCCTTCAGGATTTGTCTTTTACTCTTCCTTCTGTTACTGTATTTCCAGGCATCAGCACAGCTACTGTTGTATCTTCTTTTCACGACAACTTTGCTTCTTCTGGTCTTGTCTTTGTAGCCAAAACTGTCAGGTTGAATGCATTTGGTAGGGTTTTATGCCAAAGATTAACTTTTAAAATGGACTGGCAAACTCACTTTTATTCATATCTAAAATAAATATTCCAGTCTTTACTAAAAAAAAATAAAAATAATAAAGCACCTAATCACTGAAATTATGGAGTGTCTCTTATACTAAGTAAGGCTTAAATAAGGAATTTGAAGAAACATTTACAGAAGTGACAAAAGGTTAATGACCCACATTGCATTACCTTCCTCTTAAAAAATAGTTTTTATTCTAATTAAAAGTTGCTTCTTTAGACATCATATGGTCATTACTTACATGTGGTCATTTCTCCTATAGCTGTTTCCAGTCCTTCTGAAGAGCTAAATACACTTGATCCAGTAGAAGAGAAACTTCGAACACAAATTGAAGAAGAGAAAAAAAGGTATTACTTCTGTCTCAAACTTCTGCCATCCTCCAGAAGATAAATTATACTGATAGTGTATTCCAATTACAATTCTGCACACACAACTGCCCTCAAGGTTTTCTCTGACATTTTGAAAATGTCAGCTTTGTGGTTTACTAATAGTTTTTAAATTTGTGTATATGCTGTTGGTTTGTCTGTAAAATGCCACAGTACATGAGTGGGGACAATTTATGCTTAGACTAATGGCTAAAAATAAATTAAAATAGCTTAATGTCGTAGAATCATAGCATAGTTTGTGTTGGAAGGAACCTTAAAGACCATCTGTTTCCAACCCCCCCTGCCATGGGCAGGGACACCCTCCACTAGACCAGGTAGCCCAAAACCCCATCCAACCTGGCCTTGAACACTTCCAGGGATGGGGCATCCACAGCTTCTCTGGGCAACCTGTTCCAGTGCCTCACCATGCTCACAGTAAAGAATTTCTTCCTTATATCTAAGCTAAATCTATGCTCCTTCAGCTTAAGGCCATTACCCCTTGTCCTATCACTACAGGCCCTTATAAACAGTACCTCTCCAGCTTTCCTGTAGGCCCCTTGAAGTACTGGAAGGCTGCAATAAGGTCTCCCTGGAACCTTCTCTTCTCCAGGCTGAACAACCCCAACTGTCTCAACCTGTGCTCCACCCCTCTTATCTTCATGGCCTTCCTTTGGACTTGCTCCAACAGCTCCACATTACTCTTGTACTGGTGACCCCAGAGCTGGATGCAGTACTCCAGATGTGGTCTCCGAAGAGCACAGTAGAGGGGGAGAATCACCTCCCTCGACCTGCTCGTCATGCTTCTTTTGATGCAGCCCAGGACACGGTTGGCTTTCTGGCCTGCAAGAGCACACTGCCGGCTCATGTTGAGCTTCTCATCCACCAACACCCCCAAGTCCTTCTCCTCAGGGCTGCTCTCAATCTGCTCTCCACCCCGCCTGTAGTTGTGTTTGGGATTGCCCCAACCCATGTGCAGGACTTTGCACTTGGCCTTGTTGAACTGGAGTTCAACAAGGTGAGGTTCATACAGGCCCACCTCTCAAGGCTGTCGTGGTCCCTCTGGATGGCATCCCTTCACTCCAGCATGTCAAACACGCCACACCGATTGGCGTTGTTGGCAAGCTTGGTGAGGGCACCGGATCACACTGTCGCTGTCACCAACAATGTCCTCCCTGAGGATTAGTGTTAGAAACTTGTTGTTTGAATACAAATGTATTGTGAACATTTTTGGTTGATTCAGACGTGTCCTGCCTGCCTTGACATAAGGAAAACCTTTAGGCTATACAGGATTGACTAAGCATAAATAGTATGCAGAATACACATCGGTTAACCAATCCTGTTTGTTCTAATGTCGCTGTAGCCAGGAGGATAAAAGAAAATAGATGCAAGGACATCAGTTCTAAATAATTTCCTAGCATTTATGGTATGTGCAATCTGTGAGGCAACTTCTGACTATTTCATATTACTGGTAAATCTCCAACTAGCCAAGGGGCCTCATTAATGAAGCTTCCATCTGAAAGGGGAATCAGTGCTCAGCTCCTATCTGAATCCAGACTGGTGACCAGTTGTTTATTAATGATAACATGCTGAGAAATCAAAAGAAATAACCGACATATTTGATTGAGCCTGTATTTTAATTGTTAATCAACATTGATCACACTTGAATTTCACTAATTTCTTTAGTGAAAGAAAAGCTTTGTGGGATAAGTTCCTTGTGCTTACTGTCCAGTGAAGCTTTTATAAAATATGAGATGTCTCTTCCTACCACCACTCTGTCTGTGTCCCCTGCATCTCTGATTGATTATTATACATTCTTTTGCAGTTTAAATCTGTAACTGTTCTAGGTAGAATAAAGCTTTGTTCAGATATGTGTTCGAACATCTGTAATACACTTTCTTCTTCTCATATTAGTTATAAAACAATGTTCAATCGCCTGAAAGGGCTGAAGGTAGAGATTGAGCACCTGCAGCTTCTTATGGAAAAAGTCAAGATGAAGCTGCAAAAAGACTTTGAAGTCTGGTGGTCTGAAGAGGCAACGAATCTACAGGTATGAAATCACTTTGTATTTCTTCCATATTCATGTAAAAGTAACATCTTCAATCATTTCTTAAAGAAGTAGTTAATTGACTAGATAGAAAGGAGTATGAAGGATGGGATTTGGGGCCTGATTCACCTGTGCTTATGCCAATGTAAATCAGACAAAGCTAATGTGAATTATGTTTGTATGCAGCTAGCACAAACGAAGCAAAACCCTTGCTTTCTGCCCTATTTTCTGTTTTGATATTCCCCCAAACAACTTGACTGAAAGCCAAGAGTGGTCTCAAAATGCCAAAGACTCTGAAGGAACATAAAACAAATCAAGGAGATTTGAAAAAATAATCTTTTTTACTGCTAGCAAAGCAATGATTTCATCAGGTTTATGATGTGTGTATTAGAAGATGGCAGTCATAGCTGCAATATGGACAAATCCCAGCAAACATGATTGGTAACCTTTCAGCTTTCCTAAGCTCCTAGAGGGTCAGCAGCTCTCAGCACAGAGCGTGTGTCCCCTCACTCTCTAGCTGAGGGCCACCACTGCCATCATTGCTTGTTTAAGAAACCAGCAGAAACAGAGTGCTCTAATTTAATGACACGTGTATAAACAAACTAAAAAAGACTCACAGCAAAGCGCTGCCATGAAATGCACATCAGCCTAATGAAAAAGAGTGCTCAGTGCAGTCCATCCCATATCATTTATTATTAAGTGGAAGAGAAGATTTACTCCTTGGGGAGAAGTTGTTATAAACAAAGAAGTGTTTAGCCAATATTTTGTTTCATTCTTATGAGTATAAATTTAAACTATATTTTTAAGAAAACAGCCTAAAGTAAACACGGAACGTAACACAAGGAACTTAGTTATCCATAAAGTGCCACCTAACTAACTTAACTTCAAGTTATCATTGCAAAATACTTTTCTGGTTAAAATCCCTAACCATATTAGTAACAAAGAGGATAATGTTTTAGTCACCTTCCTGTCTAAATATTTAGGCTTTTCAAAGCACTGCAAGTAATATTCTTGAATCCACTGGAGCACATTTTTCTGTATCCCTTAACAGGAGAGGTCCAGGATTCAGCCTCTCATGATTCATCAGTAGAAGATTAGAAAACTGGAAAAAATAATTGGGATTGATTTCTTGGATCTTGACCTATCTATACATCTGAGCTCCCTAAGAAACTCAAATCGGTGAACACATGCTGTTACATATTAAAAACCTGTAACCTGAGCTTAAAAATACTAGAACCAATCCTAAACACTTTTCTCTTTGTTCAGAAGTGTTTGTCCAAGTGAAGAAAATACTGTGTTTTCTGAATGAGTCATTGCCTACCTTGTTATTGCTGAGACCTGTAGGCCAATATTAAGCACTCAAAAAAAATCCTATCCTACATAATTTTGTTTTTCAATCTAAACCCAGCAGGAAAAGCCAGAGATGGTTAGCTCACCAAATACCGCAGCTGTTTATCCCCACTTTATCAAATCCTCGCAACATCTATCAACTAACAGGTAAATTGGTCATTTTTCTCTGCCTTACTTACTTGGAAAGAAAGGCACTTTTAGTAGAAGTGCATTTCACCAGAATGCTTTTGCAAATATCACACTCAAACACCACATTTCCAGTTACAAGATAAATGACTGTGTAGAAAATTAATTTTTATCATTCAGTTATTTTGCAGTCATATTGAAGGCAGCTTATTGTAACTCAGTTCTTTTGACTTGTTGGTTTTGGGACTCTGGAAATCTGTCACTAGGGACCCCATGACAGATAGCTAAGAAAAGCAAGCCTGTTATCAGTCAATTTTGCTATATGAGGAGACTATATCTCCTTTGGAATGTATTCAGGGGGCTGCAAACCAAAAAAAGATTAAAAAATTATTTAATATATAGTCTAGATAGATTTGCTGCTGAAAAATGTCCTGGTGCTACATTTATGCAGCATATTATTCCAAAATGATATTGCATTTGATATTGTAAAACACTGGTACATCCTCTACAGTAGAAAAATGAAATCATCTTGGTTGTTTCATCATCGGTTACTTCTGATTTCAAAACTTCTAATTTAAATTTGCAGTAATAGAACTCCATAGCCCCCCAAGCAAAGTAGAGTGCAGGAAAACATACCAGAATGTGCAGGTTTCCATGGTCATTGGCAATAAATGAAAGTGTTCTCTCTCCTTCCCTCTTCCTCTCTCCCTCTCCACTTTTCTTTTTCTCCCTCTCTCTCTCTCCTTCCTCATTATACAGTTAATCTTTCTCTGATGAGTAGCTTTACCTACAACTTTATAGTCTGCATAAATGTTGTTTCCTGCTTTGCAGCAAACATAATATATCCTACATACCATTAAATAATGAATAATCATTTTCTTAAAACTGTAAAATATATTCTGATTTTTATTGTAAACTTCTGTGTATCTATAGTAAATGCTCCAAAATCAGTACAGAGATAGAATGAAACACTTAATCCTCTAAAGTTGTCTCAGAAGGCATTTTCAGATGTCTCAAACTGATGAAAACTAACTCTAGTCTTCTCTACTTTGCTTCAGTTCTTATTCCGTGTTCTCTCAGGACGTAGGCACTATTTGCTTTGCAAATGGCTGACCAGTTTTAGGCCTGATTTGAGCTGTTCATTTCTGGTTTTAGGCTGAAGGGTACTTGTCCCACAGAAAAGCTGCTGAAACAGAACCTGAAAACATTTTTGGTCTAGCTTAGCACAAGTTCAGCCAAATTAGCTCAAGCAATCCGTGACTGTCACTCTCTTTAACTTGGTACTGAATTGAACTAAAGACCTCTTGCACAACCTCTCTGCCCCGTTGTTCTTGGGAACAATAATTTCCTGTTGGTGTGCTGATGCATGGCTCAGGAGAGTAGTATCTTTTGCAGTCTAAGCTAGAATTAAAAAGAACATACGATAATGCCCAGGCACTTCCCAGTGCAATGGGAGACTGGCCTCTATAAGAGTGTTTTTTTCTCCTTCTCCCACGCTAGGTCAGAAGCAAAATGGCATAACTGGTTTCTTTATAATATTCTTTTAAACTTTTCTTTCAAACTTTTCTTTCAATTGCCTTTACTGTTTGTGTTTATCACTGGAAGACAGGTCTCAGAACAGTGTGTCTAGCATTTTGAATAGAATTGGGGAAGGTGCCTGCTTGCTTTCTGCTGCCGAACTTACTTCAGAGTCCTGCACTGCCCCACGTTGTCTCTTGCGAAAAATGACATTCTTTATAATGAACAACTTCTCTGTGTCTAAGTAATGGACATGTTGACTGAGATTGACTGGATGATCCTTGCATGTATATCACAGACCCAGAACATTCATCTTCTTGAACTTAAATTGTAGAGGGAGTCAGGATGAATATAGTTTTGTTTTCCCGTCTCTCTCAATATTCTTGCAATGATCTTTTGAAGTTAACTGCTCTTTCCTCTTTATAGTTCCTGATCTCATTTTATGTTAGGCTGTTTAAATGTATTTTACACAGGTACATTTCCAATGTGGTGTATATGGAAGTAGAAACACTATTTCTGCTTTTTGTGAAGCGGAGCTCCAGGCTTAACATCCCACTGTGCATGAAAATTTACTTTTCCCCCTACTTGAGGCAATAACATTTTAGAGGAAAAGTTTCCAATTTCATAGGCTTTAAGAGTATAAAACAGTAGAATATTTATGTCCCAAGGATTTCCTTGACCTCAGTTGACACAAGAACTTTACTTACCAATTCCCATGATTGTGTAGGATGAGTCCAGGCTACAGTTGTTCCTCTGGATTACGTAGACCCAAGACACAAATGGCTATTTGTTTCTAACTCACCTAGAAATCAACAATCTCTTTCTCTGAAATGATAGTGCTATCTTCACCCAGCAGAATAACCGGTCACAAAAGCAGAAACTGACATAAATTATATTTGATATAATGATGTGCTGTAAATAAAACCTATTTCCAAGATGGAATTCAGTTCGCAGGTGTGTTTAATAGATATAAGATCTAAAACTTAGTGCCCTACCATGTCAGAAATCTAAGACTGCTCTTGACAGAGTAAGCATGCAGTAAAAAACCATTCAGAGAAACTCCTGAGAGTGAATGGATATAAATACAATCTTCAGGATTAGAAGTAATAAATTATGTATCTCAGCATATAAAGGATACAGGTATATTCCATAATCTTTCTTGAGATTTATATATGAGTGTGAACAAAATCTTTTGATCACCTTCTAGTGCACAATTCATGTGGATTGTTATTGTTTGGCACACCTTAGTCATGTTACCAGAGCAAATTAAGCCTTGGAAAGGGAATGTGATAGCCTCAAATTGTATTTTGTATTAAATCAATTTATAGCTAAAACAGAGAAGGGAAGCTGGTAATCCTTTTGAGACTTAAAAAGGATACAGACTTATAAAAGGCACTTGATTCATGACCAAACATGTCTCTCTTTCAATTGAAAAAAAAATGGCTGAATTGTTAAGTGTCAAAATAGTCTGTGCTAATAAAGGAGTTGAACAGTGAGCATTTCTGCCTTGGTCAGTAAGGTTTGAAAGCCATTGGCTCGATCCTACTCCCACTAGAATAAGGAGCAAAACATTGATTTCAGTGACCACAGTGCTGAAGTGGAGGAAAGGGTGACATAAGGGTTATCAGTGGGTTGGGCATGAGAAAAAACATCTCTGCATAAGAAAGGTAATTTCTTGAACAGGTTAATCACATTAGCAAATCTGATTAAACAGCTGCAACCAGTAGTTTGTACATTGTACAGGCTTCCAGACTCATGTTCATTAACATGTTGAGTAGATTCAGGACTCCAGATTATATTTATATTTGCATATGTCTTCCATATGAAGGTTGCAGAAATATTAAATATCATATTACTTAACATATTACTTAAACATATTACTGAACATATTACTTAAAATGAAGAACAACTGTGCAAAGTGGAGAAAGAATGACCCATCACTGTATTTCGGACCAAAAAGTGTCTAATCAGCAATCCCAGAGTCACAGTACAAAGAGAAAGGAAGAGGAACTTAAAATAATCATCAGGAAGTTATTTTATTCAAAAGGAGTATCTAATAAAATCCCTCAAACTTGAAAGAGAATACCCTACTTGTCCATATTCTCTCTAACATAAAGCTGTAGTGCTAACTGCTACTGGTATTATACGTACATTTATGTCTCTTAGTGGGTTCCTGTCAGGTCTGCAAAAAGTCTTAAAACATATATTGGGCTCAGCACTCCATGTCTGCTCCACTTCGGAATTCAAGCTCAGTGTTGTGTTCATCCTCATATAGTCTTCTCCCACATTGGCTTTCATTTTAAGAATTTATCCGATCCTTGTCTGTTCAAGTTACTTCTCTCACTGAATTTTTAATTTCACTATTGTTGAACTGTTCTTGTATTCCCCTTGAATCAAGCAAATGTTGGATAGTTATTCAAATCTTCTAAAACATTTTGGATTTTTGTCATTCTGTCAGAAGGAATGCATTCCTTTTCAGTTCAGTCAGATCTTTCTTAACCTCACTCATTCCCTACCGCATCTCATTTGTCCTATTCCCAGCAAGCCCCACAGTATGTTCAATCTCAGACTCCTTGGATCTCCAGCTTCTTCTTCAAAATATTTCTGTCACTTTAGATTCCCTTGGAGATAACTCTTCATGTTCCCCAATGACTTTGAGCATCAGGGTTTTTAACATTTATTGCCCTGGATTGCAAAATTTACTCACTGTATTAGTGCTATGTGAAACAAGGGAAATGTTTATATATTTTGCAGCATTTTCTGTCGTAATAATTTTTCATTCCTGCCAATTTTCCACAGTGTTACATGACGATAAAACATAATCTGGGAATAACATCATTGATAATGACATTTCAAAGATTTTCACATTCTGCTGGTAACAATTTAACTTGAGCAATTTATCTATGAATTTGCAAGTTAGGCCAAATTTGATTTTGTAACCAAATACTAAAATGCTCAGATTTTAAGCAGCTTAAATCTTGCCTGCCTTTACAAAGAACATCTGTTCCCCTCATGTCCAAGACTCAGATGACTGGAGAACTGCAGCTGAGGTTGTTTTAACATTGCAGAGGTTGCACACCTTCAAATTTTATGCTTTCCGTTTTAGTCTATCTGGTTTTCCACTTTTTTTTCAGCTGGCGAATCAAGCATTCATACCATCATCTCTCCAGCTCCTCTACCCTATATGCTTGATGGAGCTGGTCAGTCCATGGGACAGCTGTCTCTGGCCCTCGGGTTCCTGCAGCAAGGGAGACACTGCCGCAACACTGCGTACATGTCTCTAGCTGCTGCCCCATGCCTCACTCAGACATATATACCCCCCCAACAGATGACCCCCCCCCCAAAAAAGCAAGTTGCCCACTGGGTGAAACTTGAGGTACTAGGTTAAAAAAAGAACTGAGACATATGAAGTTGACAGACTATCTTTAATCTGCAGAAAAAGCTGGAATTTTACTGAAGCTGTCAGGAAACAGTGCTTTAAGACTTCTTAAATTCAACTCAAGGAAAAATCAGACAGATTCAGAATGGAAATGGGAATCATACATTGTCAAAAGAATCTGAATAATGTTAGAGCTTAGGAGCCAGACAAAGAGGCAGGACTTCTACACCTTGTGCGTCCATCCAAATCCAAAGCTGTGATCCAGGAGTGCCTATTTACACATTACAGAAACACTGGTTGGAAGTCACCTTTAGAGATCTCTAGACCAACCTCCTGCTTGAAGAAGGACTATAGTCACACTACATCAGGTCGGCTATGGTTTTGTCTGGGCATCCTGAGATGCCCAGTCCTTCAGGCTTAACACACAGAGGGGGGGATCATTACCCCCACCCCATGCTGTCATAATGACCTTCCATTAAATTTAGAGCAGTACTAGCAACATTTCTCATCTTTTCTCATCACTGGAACGGCATCTAACACTTACATGAAGGAGGAGAGTCCTGGCTTCTGAGAAGAGGCTAGAAGCAAGTTGCATCTGAGCGTACAAATCACTGCACAGCAAAATTACGCTCTTTCATCCACTTATGACTCAATGTATCTTGCAATGCCATAGAAACATTATCAGAGCTTCAGTATGAAGGACGCAAATTAGCCGCATACAGGCCATCCCTCTAGCCTAGTGATTAGAGAAATCTCTGGGATACGTAAAAGATCGATTTGAGTTCTGCCAAACTGACGGACTCATTTGTTAGATTAGTACTCTCATCGTTAACCTCTTCTATGGAAGCAGCACTTTGAATTATTACAATAAATAGTTATAAGCTTCCTTATAAATTTCTTTAATTTGCAGGAGAAGAGTTTGCATCCTACAGACAAAAATGTCTGGCTGTAAGCTGTAAGTTTAAGGTTCATCTCTGCGCACAGTAATGTTAATTTCCTGATTCTGGGCATCACCTCACTCAGTCTAAGGTGGTGGGGGTTTTTTTATTATCACCTTCCTCATGTTCCAGTTCCCCCAGAGCACTCTAAGGCAAGTTTTGGCATATTGTCCCAGGTCCAGGAATCCACTAGAAAGTGAGATCCCTATAGGTCAAACTCTGCCACACCTGTAGTGTCTAGGTTTTTTTAATGTATCTGGATCTCAGTCTCCTTTAAAACGTGGATTTAACAATTCTGGAGAATAATTTTCATTTAAATTCAATGCAAAAAATTAGTTCAAACTTATAAACTACTGCACCTTAAAACTAAATTACTTCAGCTGACTCACAGTATTTATAAAATTATACATTCTGTTCATGGCAAATAAAAATCAAAGCAGCTTATTTCAATGAAAAGAAAGCAATGAAAAAGGATTGCATTAAGTCACATTACCTTACATCTGTTGCAGGTGAAGGACACAGTCATTGATGGTTGCTATGGTTCAGTTGATGGGCAGTAATTTATTAAACCATGGTTATATGACTTAGATGCCTAGGTATCTCAGGGCACAGACACAGAATCCTTTTAGAAAACTGAGTTTAAACCCCTAAATCACTTAGTTTTTAAGAATTGCCAAATCAACAGAAAAAATGTTCAGGAAATCCTAAAGCAGAAATATGATGTGAAATTCCCAGATATTGCTAAACCACATAGTAGGTAATAACATTGCGCATCCTTTCTAGTTCTTGTAATATGTAGGCATAATAAAGCACAGAGTATTATTAAACGTTAAATATGATATTGCTTTAGTTGAATTAGGCTGAGTCTTGAGGTTATTTTAATCCATTTAGGCAGGTGTGAATGGTATGGGACTTCAGGAGTTAAAGAGAAACATTCAGTAAACCTGGAGCTGTTCATTTGAAAATGACTTATACTCTTGGGCACAATATCTTCTGCAAAACTGAACCTGGCACAGTGTAATACAGTAAAATTTTAGTAATAAATTTCTTTCCTTTTTCAAGTTCTCTGCCAGAAATATCAATTCATCAGCCAACAATGAACAAACTACTGCAGAGTTAAAAAAGCAAGAACTTGCCAATCCTGCCATCTACTGGAAAAAGCCTAAATTTGAGTAATTCAATGTTTTCAGTCTCACTAAGATTGGCACCAGATCCAGCAGCATATGCGACCTCGGGGGAAAGGAGAGAGTCCCTAGACATCCCGTGGCAGAAATCGCCTTGCTAGTGGAGAGGTTCCTCGATAATGCTGTCTGCAGGGACAGGAACGCGCAACAGCTGTTTGCAATATATTTGGCTATCATCAAGCCACATCCCAAAGTCCTCACTGAGTTTTTGTCCAGTCTCCCACTGATTTCGGTAATAATTTTGCCTGACTAAAGAAAGAATGGAAAATGAGCTAAGGCCTCACTTGGCTAATAGTCAGTTTGGGAACTAAATATACCATTACAAACTGTACATCAGATACATCAAAAAGTGCTTTACAAGCCCTGCTTAGAAGGCAAATACTAAAAGTATAAACTTTATGAGCTTATTTGTCATTCTTTCATAGCCACATTCTCTACATAAACCTAATCATTGCATGGATTCAACTGAAAATCCTCTTCCAGTAAACAACAAGTGCTTTATATAGATAAAAAAAGTCTTGGAAAAAAGCTTCTTTGTAGTTACTTAGCATATATTAATATTCCCTCCACAAGGGCTATATTCTTTCCCTCATTTCTGCTCCCATTCTAGTTTTTCAGAGACCACAAGCACCAGCCCTAATGAAGATCCAGCTGGGAAAAAAAATTCAATCACTTCTAGTAACCCAACTTCAAAAACAAGGTAAGAAGCATACCTGGGCTATTCAGAGGAAAAAGCAAACCAGTAAGTAATATGATGCCTAGATAACCCTCTAGCAGTCACTTTAACAACAGTCTCCTTGAAAAACAAAAATAAAACTGAAATTGCAGATTTTTCTCCAACTTCCAAAACAACACCAAAGCTGTCCCATAGCTTTACATCAAGTAGCTGCATTATCAGCATTAAAGAGGTTATTTCTTGTTTGGCCTGAGGCTTATTTCCCCATGAGCTTACGAATCCTCATGACTATGTCTTCTCAGCAAGAGACAGGAACTCTGAAAGAATAAATAAAAACATTTGAAAGGAAGAGAGATCTGAGTATGTAAGTACTGCAGAATGCAGAAACTATGCAGAGATTTTTTCATTCTTGTAATTTGGTCCTGATAACATTTTGAGTCTCCTTCCTACAAATTATTCTAGTAAAATAAAATGACACCAGCAGCCTGGATATGTCAGGCTTGGCAAAGGTTACATGTCATGTTTTCTGAAAAGAGGTGCTGCTTCATGAAAATTAGCTTAGCAGGTTAACAGAAACTACTTTTTTTTTTTTTTGACAGCTTCTCTATTTTTTCTAATATGCTCATTTCCATGTTCTTTTCTCCCACCAAAACATCATGCCAAGTCAGTATACTTCCAGAAGTTCCATTCTTACTGTGCTCAACAGTTCTGGCTATTAAGGCCCTTAGGAAAATATGGTTAAGTTACTATTTTTCCTACTGCATTAGAACAAATCACAAGGGGTTTTTCTTTCATTTTCCAAAACAATCCATTTCTAGAACAGCAAAAAATCATGGAAAATTTAATCCCCCAAAACCTAATGTTTTAAATTGCATTTGTGTTTAAGAAAAACAGGAGAAAAAGAGAAGCTAAAATGGAATTTAGACAGTACTTTCTCAAATATATTGTGGTGTTTTGGGTTTTTTTATATTGTTGCTAATCAAATGAAAATCAATAAGAGAGTAGTCCTTTACTTGTAAATTACATCAAAAGGATGTTTTATTAAGTTCATGGTCACTTGTGGAATGTTTTCCATTTTGGTTCACTAATTCAGCAACTGAGTACTTAATTAGTAGCACAATGACAAGGATGTCAGTCTTCCATTTTATGTCAGGCACAATTACGTTCTGCTGCAATAGTCAGTAAGAAACAGTTGAAATAACTATAATTACAAAGGTAGGATATGTAAAAAAAAAAGTTTCTCCCTTTAGTTCCACTTGTCCTTCCATATGATAATTTGGATCACTATATTTCTCATTTCATCATTAGTGCTTAGTCTTTAAACAAGGTTAGAGACATAGGGCCAAACTCTCAGCTAATTAGAATGGCTTCACTGTACTACATCATCTTATACCACTGGAGGGTCTGTCAAAAGCAGAGGTAAGTTAATGATTTAACTGCACAGGTACAAGATTTCAGCTGGGACTGGAGACTCGGCAGCACAAAGGAGTTGTGTCTGTCAGCAAATGTCATGTGCTTGTTCACTTCTATGTATGTATGAAAACTTAATTCCCTTACAGGAGGTAAAAATACTATTGATCTGTTCAAATAAATTGCAGCATTTTTTCCTGAAGCAAACACATGGCATAGTCACATCCATCATTTCTTTGGTAAACTCACTGTATTAGACTTTTCCACTTGGCAGTAAATCTTTGACTCAGCAGTAAAATATTTTTAACCCTTTGTGAGAGGTTTTTATAGCTGATGATAAGCATATAGCCCTACCAAACTAAAAAGATATTGGCTAATCTTAAGAATCTACAAAAGAGCATTAAGAAGTCCTGAGTTTGATTCTCCTCTGAACTGTGCCGTCTCTAACTGTGTCTGGAGATCAAAGTCCTCCATGCTGAAAAAAAGAGAGGAGAAAATGGAATAGAAGATTAACCTTCTTACTCAGTTGGTTCCACAAGTATACTTTCTTATTTCAGGACCCCACCAAGTTCAAGTACATCCATTGCTCTGACTGGAGACAGCCAGGCTGATGCTGACATCCTAGCTTTCATTAAAGCAAGACAGAACATCCTGCAAAAGAAAGGTAAATCCTGCCAAAAAAATAGGAAGCCAAACCAAAATCTCCAGTACAGCATTTTAAAGCCAAAATAGCTTTAGTCCACATTTACACTGACGCAAGTGAGAACTGGCTTAAGTTATATTACATTATGTTCTCAGCCGTTCTAAACACTTGAGGTTCTTCGCGTGTATTTATTTTAGTAGCTCAGTGCTGCAGTGTAAAACCATGAAGGCTGTCTGGTTTTCTCAGCTGCCATCAGTGAACTTTCTGGGGCATGCAAGTCTGTGCAGCCTGCACAGTGTATTTCTTTACACTTAAGTAAATGCATTTGAATGTGGTTTCTTGATGATTAAAATACTTCCAAAATTTTCTCTATACATTTTCTTTATAAACTATCTGGCCCGGTTTTCAGCTGGTACAAATTTAGCTGTAACAATTGACAACAAGTAAGGATTACGCAAATGCTTGCACTGTACCCTACCTCATGAGGCAGACTGGTCCCCTGTGTCTAGCAGAGTATGCCATTAACAGGTATTTCACTACATCAAGGTCTAGTGAAATTTTCTATGGGTATTTGTTACCAAATCAGGTTCTGAGAGCAATCATAGGTAGGCAATAAAGTTCACTCTACAGTGTAGATAAGTAAAATTGGCAGGAAGCAGAAAGCTCTAAATAGACAACAGTCACACTGCAAGGTCGCCTAAAAGTAATTAATCATGATAAAGAAAAACAACCTGTGATTTTTTTTTTTTTTATTTTTTTTTTTTGGTGGGGAGTAATAGTTTTTAGTGGCAGCAACCAATTAGAAGATGAATGCGGTAGTGGTTACTGGAGCAATAACTTTCCATCAGCACTTGAGTGCTGATGACAGCATTATTCAGCAAGCTATCAGCACCTGGCAGATGGTGTTAGCACTGTCACAAAGTGGGGTTCGGATATCACACTGCTTATCAGAAAACTGTCAGGTAAACACACAGTGGCTGAAAAAACAGCCTCCCTATACTCATCCAAAGCAAACACATAACACACTTAGGCTGTGGGATCCCTTTTGTCTTTGTTTAGAAAAGCTGTTGTCAGGTTTCTTCTACAAATGAAATTAAATTGAATTTATAGGCAGCTCACCAGAAGAAGGTTAGAGATACGTGTCTTACAACAAACATTTCAGGCCTTTAGAAGTTCCAAATCTGACTCATTCTGTGAAGTACAGTAATCTAAGTAACAAGAGCACATCTTCTCCTGTGATCATCTCCTAAATCATACCATATCAGGAATGTCTCTCTCAAATGCCTGTTCCATCCTGACTGTTTTTCAGCCACAGGCTATTAACTAGCATCATCCACCAGTTTCAGAAGGCATTATCAACCTTGACAACTATTAGACCCCCAGTTATAAAAGATATTCTTGCAGAACAAAAGACAGTCAACACTTTTAAAACTGTTCTGAAGATCAGTTAGACAGGATGAGCTACATGCTGCCCTAAGTAGCTGAAAAGGAATGGAGCAGCATTTGGTCATCCTGGCAGTGCAGGGCTGGATGACTCAAACAATCACTAAGCACAGGCAGGGGAACAAAAAGTAAAAAGAGGTTTCGTAAGTGTGACCGGCATACTACAAATGTGTAGGGAGCTGACGCATCATAGATAAGAGACAGCTCAGCACCAAGTTCTGAGAAGGATTTAGAGTCAACGTGGCCCATAAAAGACGGCTTTTCTTCCTTGACCGCTTGTGAAGAAAGGAAATACCTCTCTGATTTGGAGGATGGAGCCACTGATAGCAGGAACCAGTGATCAAAAAAAGTTTGTAAATTCTAATTTAGCAAGAGGAAGGAGGGTAAAATCTATGGATTAGCACTACTAATGAAGTACTTTGTGCTTCAGCACCTTAGTGAAACCTGAGGACATTTATGAGGTGCAGTGGTAGCCTTTCTAACTGGGAGAAGAATATGGGCTGAGACTCCACTATTCCCATATCTGTGATAGTGTTATGTGTTCCCTTTTCCCGTGAGCACATCACTCTTACCTGACTTGTTTCTAGACTAGAAGGAGATGAGAGGCACAGTAACTGCTGTAGTGTTTGTGCATCGTTGGCTATGTGGCATTTCCAATAATTGTTGCATCCAAAGCCAAGGAGAACTGGTGGGTTTTCCTTTTGGGAGTGGGGATGGGGACTCAGTTTTGTTTATAAAGAAAAACTATCAGCGGTAGAGTTAAGCAGAGAGGCAGAGTAGACGAAGGGGGAATGTATTCTGACTGAATACTTTTTATTCTAAAGTTATGTTCACACAGAACATTTCTGCATTTGCACACAAATGTGTTCACTCCCTGTATGCTTATTACACACAGAAAGCCCTGCAGGAAACAACATGAGAAAGCATAGGTTCAGCCAAACCAAAGTCTGCTAGGCCTAAAAAATGACAGCATACTTTTTTGTCATGTTCTTTCCTTTACTGATCCTGACCCTTTCACACTGTTATGTCAGTGTCTTAGAAGCAAACTGGCCCCACTTTACATTAGCTGGGTGGAAAAAAAAAAAAAAGAAAAAAAGAAAAATGTGTGCAGAAGCCAACGGAGTGGAAAATAAGTTTGATAAACAGAAAGCATGGGAATGCTCAAAATCCTTAGTGACAGTAATGCAGGGGAGGGAATGAGAGGTCTTAGTGAAGATTACTTCAGGGTTTGCAGGTTGTTACCATTTGCTTTCTAAACAGAGCGGAATTAAAGCAGGTACATTCACAGGAGCTTGCTGGGATTGTTAAAGCATTGTAATAACTGCATTGGAAAGCTTTTTACAAAGGGCTACTCTGCAAACATGCTTTTGCTGCCTTGTTCAGTCTTGAGGTAGAAAAATGAAAATGCAGAAGAGTAGATGAATGATTTTTTTGTCTTAAAAGTTTTAAATTAAAAGATCTTTTTTTTCCTTTCTTTTGTTTTGTGTTTCTGAAGTTTGTTTTAAAATGGACAACACAACCTGAAATATAGTCTAATGTATTCTTTATCTCCTTTCAGGCTTGGGGAACAAATGAAATTCTTGTTGCAGTCCATTATCTCCTTTTACAAACAGTTAAAGATCTTAAAAAGAGTTCTTTCCCTTCCTCTTCTGTTTAGAAACAGGTACGAATAAGTACTTTAGATGTATGGTTTAATTGGTAAAGGTACAAGAAATTATTTGTCTTGACAACAAAATCCATTTCTCCAGGGAATCATATTTGAATATTTGCACTCAGTATCTTCAGCTTGCATTAAGATTAAGCAAAACTAAAACAACCAATCAGGAGTTTGCCAAATATGCTTGTTTATTGAGAATTCATCGTATGTTTTCTAAATGTTAAAATTATCTACTGTATTAATGCTCTTATACATCTTTAATCTGGGGAACACTTATTAGTACTGATGATAGTTTTATTTGCATCAATTTGCATGAGGCTTTATTAATAACATCTAGTTGGCATCCACAGAAGTCTGTGGAAAAATAGTGTTTAGCTGGATTACAAAATTCTATAAAATTTCATTTGAGACCTTTTGCTGATTTTTATTTTTTCCCCAAAGGAATAGTAGTTTTCATATCAGATGATTAGAATACTGACATTGCACTTGCAATATCAAAATACATTTTTACTAGAAAGTAATTCTAGAGTTCAAAATTTCCCAACTGGTTTTTTTCATTTGAATACATTAAATGTTATGCAAAATATAGACCTTCCCAGAATATACAACTTTCGGATGAAACAATGACACTTAATAGGCCTAAAGTAAAACAGAGCAAATACTTATAAAACACAAATGAGATGTGAACATTTAAATGCAGTTATATCTTATATACAATGAAAGTTCACTATTGACTTGGAACTACTTTATTGCATAATACCTGGTTATGCAACAACTTATTTTACACATCAGACTAAAACACATCAAAAAATACAATGCAAAATAGTCCGTTTCTCTGAGATACACATACTTCCAGGCTGAAGCCATCATTTTTCATGCTAGTGATAAGCTTACAGTCGTGCATTTGGAAGGGTTTGGGTTGTTCACATAAAATACAGCAATATATTGGCAGAAGTCATGTATCATTCTCAAGGATGTATATTTCTTCAGTTGTTGATACTTAATTCTGTGGCAAGTTCATAATTATTCAGAAGTAATTGGTGAATTGGTATGTTCAAAACTACAGAACGTAGTGTTTATCAAATTAACAACTAAGATGCAATCAAGAAATATTGAAGTTATACCTTTTTCTGCACTTTAATTTTGTGTAAAAGTCAGCACAGGTAGCACATAAATTGTTAAGCTTTATGTACAAGGCAAGATAAAAGTCAGATCTACTGTTGCTTTGGGATGAGAGAGTTCAAGGATTTGGTCAGAGGTGGGAAAATCCACAGGTCTTCCCCCTTTTGTATAACTGCTCTGTTAGAGATTGTATTAAAATGTCCTTTTCCTGCCAGAATCTTTATCTGTCTGTCTGTATTTTTCTTCGCCTTACTCTGTTATATATAAACACTGTATTAAATATACACTGAATTAATGTTTATACAGCTTTGTTGAAGATAGCAGGGCCACCATCCTGCCTCCATCCAACCCAGCTAGGTGGGAAGAACCAGAGGTTCCAAACCATTGCTGGGTGAGGCAGCTCCCTCTTTCAGTTTTCAGTAAAGTCCCCATTATGGTGAATTTATTTGAAGGTGGCCAAAAGAGAATTACTGGTATAACAGCTCGTTTCTTTTGACATTGAAGCATTTCAAATAGGTTTCAATAACTGGTTAAGAGAAGGATCTCAGCGCTATCCTGGTATGATCTATGTGACACTGCTACTACTTGATGATTACATATCCAGTGTTTTGATCTCAGTTTGCCACACATCTAACTCACAGAGAGAAAACATTGCTTGCTCTTCTGTTTCAACACTTTCTAGCCTTTTTTTACAATGTTGTAAAATTGGTGTGAAATTCAGTCACTGTCAGCAAAGTAATACCTGATTGGCAGAATGGTCTGAGGTTAAGATTATACCAAACACATAAGAAGAGCTTGGACAAAAGGACATCAAATAATAGAAAACCATATAAATAAATAAAACCATATAAATAAATATAAAGGATTTCTTGCTTCTTTTGGAAATTTTCATAATATCATGTGGACATGAAAGATTGCTCATTCAGTACATAATAGACTCAAGAAGGAAAGCATACACTTTTTTAAAAAACTGCCTCCACTTTTCAAAGGGTGCCTTTTGGATTCATAGGAAAATTCAGGTTGGGAAGGACCTCAGCAGGTCTTTAATCCCACCTCTTGCTCAAAACAGCATCAGCTATGAAATCAAACCAAGATGCTGAGGGCTTTGTTCAGTCTGGTCTTGAAAACCTCCAAGGATGGAGACTGCATGACCTTTCTAAGCAATCTGTTCCAATTCTTGACTGACCTCATCATAAAAAAAAATTTCCTTATGTCCAGCCTGAACTTCTCCTTTTCCCTATTGTCTCTCTTCTTCTAACAAGCCACACTGTCAAAAGCCTGGCTCCATCTTCTTGATGGCCTTCTCTTAGGCATTGGAAGGCTAGTGGTTTTCCTAGGTCTTCTTGTCTTCATGAAAGCATTTATTGCTTCAAGAAAGTTTGGTTGGCCACAGATGAACAAAGTTACTTGTTTTAATAATGTTCATATAATTTCTAGATTAATTTCAAATAACCCAAGCATTTACCACAGTGAAGAAAGAGGCCCACATTTATAATGATCTTGACTCCTGCCTAAGCCAGCTATAAAGCAGTATTGCTAAGCACAGAGATTCTCATGCATATCTGACTCCTGTCTGTTCACTGTGATATCTAGCTGCTGGTTGGTTAAATGTTTATATGGTAAATACAATTTATTTGTTATGTCCAACCAGAATAAATCCAAATATCTTTTTTGTGGAGATTTCTTGGGGAGGTAGTTCTACAGTGCTAGATATCATGCAGATAGTTCCAGGATTAATTTATGCCAGAGATTGTGGATCATCTCACCTCTTGTTTCAAGGCATTTCCAATCCTTCTATATAGTTTATTTCAAGCGAAGATAGACATCCACTGGTCTCCTACAGCAGTCGCCTTCTGGGAGGGTCAGGATATGACCCAGACATATAATAAATGCCAAAGGGTCTGTTCTCGTTTATGCTGAATCTGCCAGGGATCTATACACGATCTGGAAGCACACTAGGGAAACCCCTGAGCTCATCAGCTTTTGGCTTGGGCATTTGTCTCCATTTTCATCACTTCCTGGCCACTGCAGCTTTTCAGAGAGCTCCAAGGAGAAAATGACATAACCTTATGGTGAGTTTCTCTTGCTTGGAAGATGGACATGCCTAATTCAATCTCCCTTTTTCACTCCTGTGTTTTTTTATGAAAGAGTCTTTGAAGTGGAATAATGAGGTTTACACATGTAACAGTGTAAGTATATATTGTGATATCTTCCCAACAAACGATTTTATTGTTCTTACCTGGTTTAATCAATCATAGGATACAAGTGGTTTATGTCAATAGTATAAACTGAGAGCACTCCAATGTGATAAATTGTTAAGATCTTATAAATGTTGACTGTACCAAATATCCACCTGGTAAATATGGATGCCAACAAGGTGAAAATCTGGGAATGCCTAGTTACATATAGCATCTTTGGTAACTGTATATAGAATTTGTTTGTCTTTTCAAAGTCCATTTTTAATAACCACAACAATCGAACTTCTGTTTTTAGATTATTTCATATGAATTGTTTTATTGTTGTTTAAATCAATGTTACATGATCTTTTTGTAATATTTTTTTCTGTTTCACTTCCTGCAATATTTGCTTTGAAACCTCACCAATAAGGTAAGCAATGTAAACTAGATATTTGTAATAGTTACTATCCATGCCTTCATTTGACACCACCATAATAAAGTTGAAGACTTTCGACTAAAACTTTGTATTCCCTTTCCCTGGAGGGAAATCTCAGGGGCTGCTCCTGAGATTTTCAAAGATTATCTTCTGTTCATTTTTTTGGGACAGCTTGAGGTGCTTCATTTGGCACAAACAGTGAACTAAACAAATAGTTGTATTTGTGGGCCAGCAGTGGGTTTACCTAAATGCATTTATACAGATAAAGAACAGAAACAAGGTCTTCCTCCAAGACAATAGCTACA